TTTTTTTTTTTTTTTTTTAAACGTTTATTTATTTTTGAGAGACAGAGACAGAATGCAAGCTGGGGAGGGGCAGAAAGATAGGGAGACTCAGAATCCTATGCAGGCTCTAGACTCTGAGCTGTTAGCACAGAGCCTGACGCAGGGCTCAAACCCAAGAACCTCGAGATGATGACCTGAAATGATGACCTGAGCCGAAGTCGGACGCTTAACAGACTGGGCCACCCAGGCACCCCAGAGGTGGGCATAATCTTTACCAGAGGGGTAGGGTCCTATGGCTCAGAGAAGGAAAGAGCTTTCATGTTGAATGGGAGTGGAAGAAAGGCCCCTTCCCTTCTCTGCAAGTCAAAAGTCCACCTTAAGCATGAGGGAACTCAGAGGCAGGGTTAGCTGCTGCTCCTTCCTCAGGGCAATGTTAGCACAATTAGTGCCATCACCTATATGATCTCAGTCAGTACGGCTGGCAGCTTCAGGCTGAGGGTTCCACTCAAGACCCAGGAATTACAGAGAAAGCCCATGTCAAATGCTTCTTCACTTGACACAAAACTAAGTGGTTCTCAAAACACGTTTGTAACTGCAAATCTCTAGTGTTCAGAAGAAAACGACGGGTGGTAACCTTGGATATTTTTCAGTGTTGTTTTCCTTTCACATATTACTGATGCTTTGGCATTTGTTCTACTTAACAGAACCAGAGTTCAGGAGTTGGTATCTCAAATGATCCCAGATGGCAGCTATAGTTATTTGAGGGTGAACAGGTCAGTGTTTCTTTTTTTTTTTTTTTTTTTCAACGTTTATTTTTATTTTGGGGACAGAGAGAGACAGAGCATCAGAGCATGAACGGGGGAGGGGCAGAGAGAGAGGGAGACACAGAATCGGAAACAGGCTCCAGGCTCTGAGCCATCAGCCCAGAGCCCGACGCGGGGCTCGAACTCACGGACCGCGAGATCGTGACCTGGCTGAAGTCGGACGCTTAACCGACTGCGCCACCCAGGCGCCCCATAGGTCAGTGTTTCTTGATGTCTTCACAAGCAAGCTCCTGAGTTCCAGGTGCTTTGCCACCTGCATATGCCTCCCGCCAGGATGGGATTGCTTGCCTTATTTATTTCCTCCCTCCCATTCCAGGAAGGAAACCCAGAATCTTTCAGTCTGTTTTTTGTTTGTTTCTGCCTCATTCCTTGGGGATATAAATAAAATCTCACAGGTGGCAATATCTCACCAGAGGCGGTCACCGCGGCAACATGAGTTTGCAGGATGTGGGCCAGTGTGTTTATGAGTGTTGTAGGGTGGATACTCATTGCCCCGTGGGTGGAACTGACAGAACTGACACACCAAAGACCTGCCCCCCATAGGGGTCCTCAGAGGTGGTCCCTGGGGACAGGGCTCTGTGTGTCCTTCTCTGTCTGTATTCTTGACACAGTGCCCAGCATTCATAGGTGCTCAGTCACCATTTGCTTCGTGAACACACAGGATGTGACCCTCTATACCTGTACTGTCCAGTACAGTAGCCACCAGTCCATGTGGTGGTGCATTTGAAGATGGTGGCTGGTCCAAATTGAAATGTGCTGTGTCACATAGACACTGGATTTTGAGACCAAATGTGGAAAAGACTGTAAAATAATCTCCTTAATAATGTTATTTTGATTTCATGTTGGAGTGAGAGTATTTGGGGTTTATTAGGTTAAATAAAATATATAGTTAAAATTAACTTACCTGTTTCTTTTTACTTTTTTATGGCTAGTAGAAAATGTAAAATCCCATATAAGGCTAGCATTACAATTCTTTTGGACAGTGCTGCTCTAGAAGCAGCATGGCCTGAAGACAGAGCAGAAATGTTGGACTCAAGAATCCTAGCTCCCTGAGTGACCTCGGGTTAATCCCCTAACTTTCCAGAGCCTCAGGTTCCTCACCTGTGTAAAGGAGGCAGATTCAGGAAGTAACACACACTAGGTCCTTGTGGTCAGGGCCTAACACCATTAAAGTACAACCTCTGTGCTCAGGCTCAAGGTAGGTGGCCCCACATGTGCTTTCTCTCACTCCTCACTCTCATTCCTCTAGCCTGGGACACCCTCTTCTTCTTCTGGGACAGGCTCCTCCCTGCCCCCACCCCACCCCAGGAAGTCTCGCTGAGTGCCCACTCACTCACTCTTGCCTTCATCCATTCCCAGACACTGAAGAGCTACTTGGGGCCAGCCCTGCACTGGATATAGGAAGCCAGGGACCCGGATGAGCCTCTGACCCTGAACCCCAGAGCCCACAGGCTAGTTTGACAGCCAGACATACTCAGGCATTCAGCTTCACCGGCAGGCACCTGTGCAGAGGTGAGGACAGGGCCCAAGTCCTCTGGGAAGCCAGAGAGGCCAGCTCAGCCCTCAGGAATCACCTCTGGGTGCCTTTGAGCATCCCAGGAGCTGTGGACACAAGCAGTCCCTCAGGTCTCTCAGCCCAGGTGGCCAGGTCATACCACAGTGAACTTAAAAGACAGTCCATGCACTTGTAGAGAAACAGACTGCTAACTACAAATAATTATTCAAATAATAATTCAGTGCCAGTGTGGCGTATGTTGGGAGGGAAAAGAACAGAGTGCTCTGAGAATGTGTAACAGGTGAACTCACCTGGCCTCGGGACCTGAAGGAAGGTGTCTTATCTAGAGAAAGTGTGGGAAGGTGAGGGCACATTCTGGATGGTAAAATGCTGAAGTGGGAACAGACCACACAGGGGCAGAGCCCAAGGAAGTGTTCCAGTGTTTATGCTGTAGAAAGCCATTCAAGAGTTCTAGGCTGGGGGGTGAGTTGCTTTTTAAATGATCACTCTGGCCATATACAGAATGAATGGACGAGGTGGTGCTGGGCAGAGGGACGAGGGTGACTCCTAAGGGAGGCAGTGGTGGTGGTCTAGAGAGAAGATGGGGTGTGGAGCAGCACTAACGAACACCGTGGTGGGTTCTCAGTGTGGTCTGGACACAGGATTCGCAGCACTAGGCGCTTGGATGTGAGGGTAAAGGAAGGGAGTACAAGGAAGTGTCCAGTTGCACATAGTGGGGGTGCCATTTTCTGAGATGAGTGAGGTTGGGGTAGAAATAGGTTGGAGGAAGAGAAACTTCTGTACCAGGCCTGGACTTGCTGGGAATCAGGGAAACCAACCATGACCTAAATACTGCCCAAGCAGCCCATGCAGGGAAGGGAAGAGCTATGGTACAAGGAAGTGCTTTCTGCTGCTAAGAAACCCACAAAGGACAAGAGACCCTGCTGCAGGGTGGGGAAGAACCAGGGCTGCCCAGCTCTGAACAGAGGGAAGAGGGTGAAACTGGCAGGGCATGCGATGAGCCACTGGAGGGGCAGGACAGTGTCATGCTTCTCCACCTTCTGAGTCAAGGACCCGGGACCATTTGTCACTTTCTTCAGATGTCCACAGATTCCAGAGATGGACAAGAAGCATTCTGTATGGGCTGCAGGGGGAAAGGGGACATATAGAAGGCAGGCAGTGGCTCCAGACAAGGATGGTCTTTGTTGCTGCTACTGCTAATAATAGTAATCACAAGAATAATGTTTATTATTGCTTGAGCACTTTTACTGGTGTCTTGCCCTAGAGGGTGGTCAGGGAGGGCTTCCTGAAGGAGGTGATATCCAGGAAGCCCAAAGGATGAGAGGACTTAGCGGGGTGATGGGAATTGAATGGGGAAAGCATGATATAGACAGAGAGACAGATTGGACCCAGGTTTAGAAATGAGTGCTGGCACTTGAACTGCTGTTTGGAGCTGATGGTGGTTGGGACGCAGAGTATGGCAGTGGGGGAGATGTGGCCAGAGGTGGCCTTTCTCCCAAGGGAGTCCTGAGGGGGTGTTGGCCGGTGTGACATGCTCGGGTCGGGTTTGGCCCAGATCTCTAGAGCTGAAGTGCGTCACTTGGAGGGATCAGACCTGCAGCCCTGCTGGAAGATGCTGCAGCTGTCCAGGCAGGAGCTGACAGTGGCCCAGCATGATCCAGCCCTTCCTGTCACCCTGTAACTACCACTCTCTTTTAGGTGTCAGTTGCCTGTTCAGTGGTTTGCTCAGGGAGAGAAGGACTATAGGTACTTGTTCATAGCTGTATCTGCCCAGCCTTTAGCAGGGGTCTGGCACACCTGGGCCCTTGGAGGGACTCCTGGAGCTATGGAATTGGCAGTGTGGGCATCGCGTTGGGGGGATGAGAGGGACTTTGGTAAAGTCTACCCACCAGCAGGTACCAAAGGGCCCATGACCCAGGCCTGGGAAAGACTTTTCCCCAGGGTCTAGGTTGGACTTTCGGCCTAAGAATGGGGCAGATCGGGGTTTTAGGAAGTTTCCTCCAGCAGCAGCCACATGGCTCTGGCTAACGGGGATCCTCTCTGCTCAGCAGGAGCCACGAGGATGGCACACTTGCTGGGCAGCCAGTCCTGCATGGACAGCCTGCGCAAGGACCTCACCGACTTACAGGGCGCCATTGTGGATGTGTTCTCTCGTGCTGGGCCTGTGCGCTTCCCCTCCTGGAAGTTCCCTGACCGTGTGGCTTGCGACCTGGACATGGTGGCCCTGCTAGAGCACTATGACCATGTGCCAGGTGACCCCGAGTTCACGCAGCTGTCCCATGCTGTTCTGCTGGAGCTGGTCATCGACAGGTGAGGGCCTCCACCAAACCTGGTGATCTCAGGATGCTGGCATCTGCCCCTTAAACCAGTAGACCAGCCTTGGGATCCCCCTCAGCAGGGATAATGTTGGTGACAATAATCACCTTTAACTGAGTACCTGTCAGGAGGCTAGTCAGTTCAAGGCCCTCATAGTGATCTCTTCTGTCACGTGCTGTACTTTCCTATCGTGCCTGCCTCAGGGGGTTGCCAGCAACCTCCCCCCCCCACCCGACCCCACCACAACAACTGCCTCTCCAGCTGCCGTCGCTGCCTCCTCAGGGTTTCTGTGCCTTGGGGACACCACGGCTGCTGCTCAGAGTTTCCATCCCAGGCTCTTTTTCCTGGTGTCTTGTGGGCTATGCTATTCTCTGTGTCACAAGGTCAGACATGGGATATGTTTTTCCAGATTCTGGCCCTGCTGGGAAGAGGCCAGCAGATTGCCCTGAAGCCCCTCCACTTCCACACTATCATTAAACGTAACATGGTCATCAGGCTTCCACTTCCTGGGGCCCGAAACCCAGGCTCCCTGTGCTCCAAATCCATACACGTACCGAAGTCATGGGGGCCTGACAGGCAAGGACACCAGCGGTCTGGGGATGACCTGCCTGGGGACAGAGAAGCCAGGGTAACCACTTAGAAGAACCCCCAGTATGAAAGCATTATTTGGAGCCTGTGAAAGGCTAAACACGGATAAGCACAGAACACACCTTCCTTTCTCTGTGCCTTTACATACACTGTGCCCTCTGCTCGAGCACCCCTGCCCAGCCCTTCCTGGTCCGGCCAAGCCCCACTCATCCATCAAGGCCCAGTCTACCTATGCCCCTGGGGAAGCTGTTGCTGACATGTCTTCTCCACTCCCTCTGTCAAGGCCATGCTCTGTCTTCTTTCCAGGCTCTTCCCCCTGCCCACCCCCCCACCCCGCCAGTGCTGCCCAGCCCTGCAGCAGACACAGCTGTCCCCATTCACAGAGGAAGACACCTTGGCCTAGAAAGGGGTGGGACCTGGAGGCATTTGGTGCATCCTCCCCAGGCCTTCTCTGCCCAAGGCCCCGATGGGTTTAGGATGACCCTTCTGCACTCGGAACAAGAGAAGGTGGCTTACCTGCCCAGTATGCTCTGTAAACATAATTCCTCTTCCTTTAAAATAGCTTGGTTCCCATGCAGATCCAAGCTCATCCTTCTAATGCCTCTCTTCCTTAAAAGTAGCCTGACTCTAATTTTGAACACTGAGGTTAACATAGACACCCAGCTGTCTTCATGTGTCCCATGTCACAGGAGCAGCTTGCCCTGCAGGAGACCCTGACTAGAATCAGGAAACTCCAGGGCACGCCTGCCCTGCATGCTTGCCCTGAAGCTGTGGGCAGGCCCTTTCCCCTCTCAGAGTCTCTGCTCTGTCCTCTGTAAGGTGAAGGCTCTGAGCCATGTGATGTAATGCAGCCACCCACCCAGCACCTTCCGAGCACTCACAGCACAACTGAAGCAAGACCCTGTCTCCCAGAGCATCCCAGTGTAGTGGGGAACAGCCAGGTAGCAGTGCTGTTACCCAGGAAGCCTGGAAGAGGCCCCCAAGCGCAGCCCTCAGGGAGGGCTTCCTAGAGGAAGTGGCTCTTGGATTGGGTTTGAAGCTGGTCCAGTAGAGCACATTTTAAGGCCCTCTAAGTCCTCAGAGCCAGAGGCTGCTAGTTGCATGGTATGTAGGCATGCCTGCACCAGACTCTACCCTAGCTGACCCTCCCGTCTCTGCCCACAGGCTCCTGCTGCTGCTTCAGAGCTGTGCCAGCTACTTGGAGAACCTTGGTTCAGAGCAAACGGTGCCCTCTGCCCAGGCCATGGGGCGCTGCATGTCTGTGGGGCTCACAGCGCGGTGCTTTTGGAACAGCCTACTGAGGCTGGGCATGCTCTACAAGCAGGCAGCCCCACAGGTGGGTTGGCTCCCCCCCACTCCCCAACCATGGCCACCCTCATACCTGCCGCAGTCCCAGCTTCCTTGCACACCATGTGTGTACCACATCCTTTGCTGGCCCCGTGCTTCCTGAAGGAGATAGTATCAACTCTGGAGCCTTCCTATCAATGCCAAATACAGTACGCAGTTAGCAATGCAGGCCTCAGGGGTCATGTCTGGGCTACCTGGCTCTGCTCTTTATGCATGGGACTTTGGGGAAAATCCCTACCTACTCTGAACCTCAGATTGTTCATCTGTACAGTGGGAATAATAGCAATTCCTACCTCTCGGGGCATTGTTGGGTAATACTGTTAATGTTAGCCCCATTTGTTATGGCTTATCTTGTAATCTTCACAAATCCCCAGTGAAGGGGAGGAAAGGAAACGGGGGAGGAAAGAAAACAGGGAGGAAAGGAAAACTCTGAGCAGCTACGGTGACCTGACAGCAAGCAAGTCCACTAGGCAAGACCCCAGTAACTGGCAGCTGCAGCTTCACTGTTAGACACCTAATGCCATGCATGTAACTACACGGAGCCTAGGGCAGGGGGCAGCAGAGAAGGGGCCTTGGCTTGGTAAATTGAGGCAGTAGAAAGGAGAAGTTTCTCTCTCTCATTCACATTGGTGTCAGATAATGAGGGTCTGAATATCAGGAGAGGCTGTCACAATATCCCCAGGAAACTGGTCACCTTCCAGGCCTGTCTCCCTCATCTGCTTTCCCTTTCTTTTCCTGACCACAGAAAAGGGTAAACCAAGGGGAGATCCTCACCTCCAAGCCCACAGCCAAGGGTGAGCCAGCCAGGAGCCCTGAATTTGTGACTGCCAAGTTCATCAAGCCCCCCTCCCCAATGCCGGGCTCGCCCCAGACCTGCCAGGAGCCAGACAGCCTCCCTGCCAGAGTATCCCTGCAATGTCCAGCCAGGACCGTCAAGAACAGTAGGAGCGTCCACTCCCAGACTGTGGAGACGGCCCTGGTGCCCTGTGATGCATGCATCAGTGTCCAGGGAAGCCTGCGGGAGGTGGGCAACATGGTCATCAGCCTATGTCAGAGCCAGAACTTGCCCTCGTCCTTAGGCCAGTTCCAGCAGCTGGTGCAGGACAACATGGGGCTCAGGCCGCTGCCGGCCGCCACCATGGGCCACTGGGCGGCAGAGCAGAGCAAAGACCTGACACGCCTCAGTAAGCATGTGGGGGCCCTTGCTCAGCTTGTTGGGCCCCTTAGGGCCCAGCTGGAGGAGGCTGAGGGCCAGAAGGATGGACTGAGGAAGCAGGTGGGCGAGCTGGAGCAGGCACTGCAGCAGGAGCAGGGGGAACGGCGGCGACAGGCAGATGAAGCCGCGCAGCACCTGGTGGAGTGGGAGCGCAACAAGCAGCAACTGCTCACAGGTCTGTGCCCCAGACCCCGGACCCTTAGTGCCCAAGGCTCTGCTATGGCCTTAGCGCGGGCTCTCCCAGAAGCGGCCCCCAAACAGGGCTGCAGGTATCAGTAGTCGGTGTAAAGAAACCCAGGCTAAGGAGTGGGCAAGAGACACAGAGGGAAGGCAACTCATCAAGCTGGTGACACTGCAGGCAACTGGAGCTTGATCCCAACGGGGAACACTGGAGCTGGTGGTATAGAACACGCACCTCAGAGCTGCCCCATAGGAGGGTGAGGGAGCCAGGGAATTAATCCACTCACTCTGGTGTCGCTGAAGTAGCTCCTGGCAGAGCTACTCCCCTGGCACCTCCAGCCAGCAGAGCAGCCTCTTTGGCTTCAGTGGAAGCCGTCAGGCAAAGGTACAGCTATGGCACCAGAAATGGGCCAGCACCCACTGATGCAGTGTGGCCTGACGGATTTGGGCAAGCCACTGCCTTTTCTCAGCCTGTTGCCTCTGTGGAGGACACTAAGGCCCAGAGAGGTATAGAAGCATGGCAGTCAGCCAGTAGATAGGGTAAATGGGGGCCCAGGCCTCCTGGCATCTCCCTAGAGCTTCTACAAGCTCAGGGAGCCCCTCTGCACGGCAACAGCTGCCACTGCTTTGCAGGGTACACTGGGTGTGAAGGCACTGGCCGGGGCCAAGGGAGCCTCTGAAAGACCCCTCTCTCTCGGCTGCCATAGAAACAAGTGACCTCAGGATGAAGGTGGCCACCCTGGAGATGGAGCTGAAGCAGCAACAGGAGTCCATGCAGGCTGTGGGTGAGGAGTCCCATCGTGTGGCCCTGAACCCCGTGCCATGTGCTCGGTGGTGCAGCAGGATGAGCACCCTCCATCTCTGTCCCCTGGGCTTCTGGGGCAGAGAAAGGGAACCACAAGGAGAGTGGGCCTGACTGGCCACGCTGTTGGGTGATGGCCAGAGTTGGGGTGCCACCTCCCGCCCAAAGAGCACCTTCTATTTTCACAACCCACTTCAGGCAGTGTTCAGGGCCCCATTTTGTGGCTGAGGACACTGAGACCCAGAGATGAGACCCCTCCGCACCCCACCTCAGGTCCCATCCGGGTCAGAGGCAGCACAGGGACTTGCACCCAGGCTTCCCTGCACTACCCTTTCCCATGCCCACCCAATCCTGCAGAGACCAAGGCCCGGCAGCTTCAAGAGGAGGCCGAGCGCAGGGCAGAGGCCGAGAGGCAGGTACACCGGCTGGAGGAGCAGGTGCAGGTGCTGGCAGGGCGGCTGGATGGGGCCAGCCAGCAGATCCACTGGGCCAGCACAGAGCTGGACAAGGAGAAAGCCCGAGTTGACAGCATGGTCCGCCACCAAGAGGTGAGGCCCCCAGCACCTGAGGGTATCTGCAACGTGGGCTGCAGGAAGAGAGAGCTCCATTGGTGGGGTGTGGGGGGTTATCCGTGTAGGGTACCTACTCCCCAGCATGCACCCAGGTTGTTTGATTTTTACCAAGAGTCTGAGCCTTTCCCTGAGCCCTGGGCCCTGGGGAAACAGTGATCCAGGAACAGATATAGCCAAAGGAGTCCTTGTTCTGGAGGAGCTCCCCACCCAGTGAGGACAAGCAGTTGGGCCACCGTAGTTCTGCTGCCAGATGGCTAACAGGGGCAGGAAAAGTACTGCAGGAGTACAGAGGGACAGGCACATCTGCCTGTGGGAGTCCAGGATGGTTTCTGGGAGGAAGTGGCCTTTAAACTGGATGCCAAGGGCTGGTGATTAGTCCATCAGTCAGAGGAAGGATAGGGAGGGCAAGGGTGAGCCGAAGCCCAGAATACAGCTGTGCCCTCGGCATTGGGGCCTTGCAGGAACCCTCAAGAGTATGGCTGAGGGAGCAAGTAACCTGCCACCTAGAGAAAGGGATAGGTCTGGGGACTGTCCTGACTGTTCTTAGTCTCAGAGGCTCATTTGGGAAGCTAAGACCCCAGGTGGAAGTCCCCAGCATCAGGCATGGCCCAGTATGGGAAAGCCTGTCAACTGCAAGCAGGTGCTTTTCTCAGTGCCCTGCAAACAGTCATGGTCACCGTGCAAAAGGTGTGTGTAGTGATCCAGATGGTAGGTTTCAGCCTCTGGAGCCCTATTGTTCTTATTCCTCATCACAACAGAAGGAGGCAGATACTCTTGTCATGTCCCTATTTTATGGATAAGGAAACAGGCTCAGTGAGATTAAGGAAATTGCCAAAGCTGCACAGCTAGCCAGAGGTAGAGCCAGGACTCAGAACGGACCAGCTTTGGTTCTTCCTGCTTTGCACTCAGTGGGTGTCAGGAAATGTGGGTCCCAAGTGACATGGGCTGATGGGACACTGAAGACCTAAGGAGAAGAAGAAAAGCATATTGCCCAGAATGCCTCTCCGAGTGGAGACTGTGACTGTAAAGAAGGGGGCGAGACTGATAATGAATTGGCCAACTGCTCTACAAAGGGGCAGCGGTCTGCAGGTTGGGACTCTTGGCCCTGACTGGCCTGGGGGTATACATTAGGGTATACAGCTGTGTTCCCTGTGCCCCTTCTTCTGCATGCTTGTGCACAGCCTCCCCTCTACACAGGCAGGGCACAAGGGAGAGGGCTTGGAGGGTCAAAGATACCATAGCCTTCTTTGTACCAGCCGGCTGGGCCTCACCCGCCTGCCCACCCCGGCTCAGTCCCTGCAGTCCAAACAGCGAGCCCTGCTGCAGCAGCTGGACAGCCTGGACCAGGAACGTGAGGAGTTGCGGGGCAGCCTGGACAAGGCCGAGGCCCAGCGGGCCCACGTGGAGGAGCAGCTGCAGAATGTACGGAGCGAGAGGGAGCAGGGGCAGAGCCAGCTCCTGGCCCAGCAGGTGGGAGCAGGCAAGGCAAGGGTGTGGGATGGCTCTTCCCTTTCACCAGAGGGTATCCAGCCAGCTGAGTGCCTGTGGGCCAGTCCCCTGTCTGGAAGGGAAGGGGGTGTCCCCAGGGGAGTCAGGAGCCATTCCTTGGACAAGATGAGGCTCTCCCTGCCCCAGGAGCTACTGCAGAGCCTGCAGCGGGAGAAGCAAAGCCTGGAGCAGACCACGACAGATCTGCAGTTGACCATATCGGGGATGGAACAGGAGCTCGTGGAGCTGAGGGAGCGGGAGCGACTGCTGGTGGCCTTCCCAGACCTGCACAGACCCATCGAGGCCCAGATCCCAAGTAGGGACCCAGAGGTGGTGGAAAGGGCATATCAGGGCCCGGACGGGCAGCTGAGGGTTCACCTGGGCAAGACACTGGGTCTGCAACTCCCCAGCCTGCAGCGTGGCCCCTACCGAGCTCCCAGGACACACAGTGCATCATCCACTCTGTGTAGATGGGGGCACAGAAGCCCAGAGGTGAGGTGACCGCCCACTGTCACACAGCTGAGTCCAATGTACAGTTGTAACACCGCAGCCTGTGTTCTTTACCATGTCACATGCCAGTCCTTGCTCAACTTCCTCGTGTCCCCCATCCTGGTGTCTCCCCAAACCACACCACGGAGCCAGCTCCAGGGGTACAGCCCCAGTTGTCCAGTGTCATGCAGCCCATGGCACAGGAGTGCTAGTTACCCATCTTAGCAGAGGACTGGATGCCAGGCAACCTGGGTTCTCATTCCAGCCCCTCCAGCCCTCACCCAAATGGATGGGGGTGAATCCATTTGCAAGGCTGCCAGGAAGATCCACAATTTAGTGGTCCTGAGCACTGTGTTCCAGGCCCTTCCATTGTCCCTTCATCGGCCCCACAAGGCGGGCAAGAGCCCTTTTACAAACCGTGAAACTGAGAACCACAGCAAGCAACAACTTGCTCAGGTTCATAGAGTCAGAGAAGAAACCTCCATCCCCCAAGTGGTGAGAAAGAACGTCTTTGCTGAATTCCTGTGACTCATACCCAAGAAGAGCTGGCTGTGTGACTTTGGACAGCTCACTGTCTCTCTGGCCCTCTGAAAACAGGCGGCTTTGGCAGAGATTCACTCTCTTGCCTAGTTACAGTCTTCAGTGAGCTGGAGGTCCCACCCAGCTGTCAGATTCTACAATGCTGCAATCACCTCCCAGCAAGTAGGGGTGGGAAACAGAGACAAGGCCTCAGGAGAAGGAAGATGAGGTGGAAGGCTCAGTGCACTCACTGACTGTGCTCAGCTCACCTGTGCTTGCCAGGCCACCAACCCAAGCCATACCTCAGCTGGCATGTGTGCCCTCTGAGGTCCTTTTCCACGGGTTGGGGTGAGGTACCAGAGAGCTTATCTCCATAGGCTCCGGCAATGTTACAGACGACATGGAGAGGCAGGTGCAGGCCAACGACATCCGCATCTGGGTCCTGCAGGAGGAGAATGGGCGGCTCCGGTCTATGCTGTCCAAAATCCGGGAAGTAGCCCAGCAGGGCGGCCTTAAGGTGGGCATCCTGGCTCCCCAACCTGAGAGGGACGACCCTTGGAGACTTGGAGGAGGTACCTAACTGGCAGGTCTTCAGACCCCACCCTGGGAACCTGTTGAAAGCCTGCCTCATCACGTGGCTTACACAGGTTTCAAGCAGGCATGAGAGTGTTACAGTGCCTGCCAGCTCCGAATTTCCCCCTCCAGTCCTTGGTACCTTTATTTCAAGTGCAACCTGGAGCTTGTCAGAAAGCAAAACGTCCCACACTTACTGCAGCTGGGGTAGCCCTGGAAGGCTTCCCAAACCCTGCCCCTCAGAGGAAGGGTGTGGGTACAGGTTTGGGCCCTCCCTCTCCTCCATGGTGATGATACCCTCTCTGAACAGTACAGAGAATTTCCTGAGCCTTTCTGACATTGGTTTTTTTTGCAGCTGATTCCACAGGACCAGCTCTGGGCCCCTCACAACAAGGGCATCCACGGAGCAGCGCCCCTGGCCCAGGCCCAGAACGCATCCCCAGGGTGAGTAAGGCTTTGCCAGAGGTGGGGCAGATAGGTGGGCTGGTCCCCCTCACTCACAGGGGATCTTGCCATCGGTCCTCCCTCAGGCCCCCGGACAGGCAGCACCTGCCCAGCAGCAGGACAGCCAGTGCGGGCAGGACCCTACCGTGCCAGCTCCGGGCATCCCCACCTCAGCAGCCCTGCAGCCGGTCCAGCAAGCCCTCCTTGGAGGACATGACCCACTCGACCAACTATGCTCAGAACCCCATCCGGGCCTTGGCCAGGCTGAGGAGGAGACTGTCACCAGGCCGACGCCAGGCCAGCCCTGCACATCAGCCCCAGGAGCGGCCCACGTAGCCTGCTGTGGGGTGGGGCTAGAGGGCAGGTGTCTGGCAACCCACTCAATGTAATAAAGCCTTGGCCATCTGCCCACAGCAACCTTGATCTCAAAGGCCTGGCTGAGCCAGGGGAAGAGCCCTTCCTTCCCCTTTCTGGGCAGGGACCACCTAGTCCCCGGTCATGCAGGTCACCTGCCAGGAGAGGCCTGGCACACTGTGGGCCCTCAGTAAATGGGTGCTACCTGCCTCTGTCCTGACAGGGCAATGGGAGAAGAGGGCACACCAAGGACAGAAAGAAGCTCCAGTACCTGGGCCAGGTGAAAGGCCCACAGCAAGGGCAAAAGGGTGATGTGGAGTCGGTGATTCCTACCAATGAAGAGCAAGGTCAGGGTAGGGGGTATGTCAGGGAAGGAGAGCAGCTGCCAAGGTAGGCCCAGTGAGGATGTATGAGGCAGAAGGGTGTCAGAGAACAGGGTCCCGGCTCTGGGCTCACAGAAGCAGGCAGAGGGCAGGGAAGCCTTCCCCAGCCCCAGACTGGGCCTGGGACCTCCTGCCCCAGCTCTGAATCTGGGATGAGGACATTAAGGACCCAAGAAAGGCAGCCCTCCTTTTACCGAGGATCTGTTCACCTTCAAGAAATGTAGGCGTTTTCTAAATCCAGGAGGTTGGATTCCTAGAAGGCAGGGCAAGGCCTCATCTAATCAGACACCCAGCAAGCCCTGGCTTCCCAGGCCTGTCTCCTAAGACCTGGGCATAGATGCTACCAGCCACACCAGGCCCATGGTCCAGTTTTCCTCACGAAGCCTCCAGCCTGCCCTAAGTTACCTCATCAGTGAAGGATAAGCTCTAAGGCCTTACCGAGGACTTCTCAGGGTAGGCACTCTCAGCTTCCTGTGACATTTTATCCTGGTGAGGAGGCCAGCACGTAGTGTGCCTCAATTTACAGAGAAGGGTTGAGAGGGGCCATGTGTGTAGCTCAACTGGCATGGCCACTGTCTGCCCGACTCTAGCTTCTGTGGAGCCCGGCGGTCCTGGAATGCCCTGGCCCTGTCCCTTATAGGTGAGAGCCAGCCCTTGGGGTGGAATCCCTGAGGTAGGAGGCATGGGCCCCAGGGGGAGGACCTGTCACAGCTCAGCTCCCCTCTGCTCACAGTTCTGTAGGTCAGAAGTCCAGGCCCTGTGGCTGGGTTCTCCATTCAGGATCTTAGAAGACTCACATCAAAATATCTGCCAGGTTACATTCCTTTCTGACAGCTCTGGGAAAGAACCCATTCCTAGGCTCATTCTGATTGTTGGAGGAATTCCGATTCTTGCAGCTATAGGACTGAGGTCCACTTCTTTGCTGGCCACTGGCAGTAGGGGCCACTCTAAGCTCTTAGAGGCTGTCTGTCTTCCTTGCCCCCTCTGTCTTTAAGTCAGCAACAGAGAATTTCTCATGCATTGAATGCCCTTCCTGCTTCAACTTTTGACTTCTTCTTCTTCCATCAACTAGAGAAAACTCTCTGCTTCTAATGGGCTCTCGTGTTAGGTTAGGCCCTCTTGGATACTTTCTCTACCTTAAAGTCAACTGTGCCATATAACATAACCTAATCATGGGAATTAAATCCATTAGACTCATAGTTGCAGGTTTATAACAGGGGATGTTCAGGAGGGCTGGGAGATCTTGGGGCCCATTTTAGAATCCACCTCCCACACAGTAGAGCCCAAAGTGACTCTTCTGTCTTAAAACATCCACACAAATCTGATAGCTTATGTTAAAATATATCCATGTTTACTTCAATATTAAACCTCCCCCCTACCCCAAATCTAAAAAAACCGGCTGCCCCTAAAAGATGCACCACATTTATCCTGCAGCTTCAAGTATCCTGGGCGGCAACCTATAGCCCGGCCAAGAAGCACAGGACTTGATGGCTCTTGAGGCCTCTGATCCCAGCCAGGCCTGGGAAGGGAACCCCGCTGGACAGGCAGTAGCACTCATAGCTCCCAGTGTCCAAGGGCTGAGGGCAGTATCAGTGGAGGGGCCTCTCTGGGTTGACCATCACAGCCTTGACCAAGAGGTGTCCCCAAGGCTGGACAGCTCCTCCCACAACCCAAACCCCAATAAATAAGCATAAAGCCTGGCCAGCCACTGCAGCCTCAGCCCCCAGGGATACCTGGACAGGCAGGTCAGAGAGCCGCCAGAGCCCTGGGAACAGCTGCGCTGCCCCACACCCTCTTTCCAGGGTTCCCACCCAGGGTCATGGGATCTGTCTGTGGGGAGGGCAGACACAGACACGCCAGGATGGCAGAGAAGGGCCCCAAGGTGGCTTCTCCCTCTTGACTGGCAGGTCCAGACCCTGCATCCTTAACTGGGGGCTGTGGTCCCTCCTTCCCAGTACAAATATGATGGGGTGCCTTGCCCCCCAGGAGGGGAGGCCCCTATCCTTCCTCCCACTGGCAGAGCTTCCCGTCCATCTGCTGTTGTGTTCCACGAGCCCAGGCCTAGGGCCAGGGTGCAGGCGAGAGGGTCCCTTGCCCACATGCAGAGACCCAGCTGCGGCAGCTAATCATCTGAGTAGCGGTTCCCTGCAGGAGAGGAGGAAAAAACAGGAGGGAAGGGTCAGGTGGGAAGCAGGTATATAGCCAGCCAAGGGTCCCCACCCTTGGTGCTTACCCAGCACATTGAATTTGCACAGAGGGCAGGTCTGCTGGAGCATCAGCCAGGGGTCCACGCAGTCTCGGTGAAACTCATGCTTACAGGGCAGCACCCGGAGCCACTGCAGGGGGTGAGGCAAGAGTACAGGCCCCAGAGTCAAGCCTCCAAGTGGGGATGCCTGGCCCCCACCTGAGCTGGGGAAATGGTGAAAATCCTGTGGCCTATCCCCCGCCCACCATTCTGCTTTCCTAATTATAGCGGGGGCTGGGAGCATAAGGGCCCAGTCGGAATGGTTCTGGGGTCTCTCAGGAGTGGAGTGAGAGACATCATGGGTCAGCTGATGGCTGGCCTCTGCCCAGGGCACTAACCTGCTTGTTGCAGAAGTAGTCCAAACACACGGCGCAAGTCTCAGCACCAGGCTCTGGGGGCCCCTGTGCTGCCCTACCCAGACGGCAGCGCCGGGTCTTGAGGGATGCCAGTCTCCGCACCACGCGGCGCTTGAACAGATCTACCTGTTGGGGGAGGGCAGACACAGTTAAAAGGTAGGTTGGAGGTCTGGGGCACCGGGGCTCCCAGGAGCTGGCTCTCACCTGGCCTCCGGGCTCCCGCTGGCTCTGCCTTGACGCCTGCCGCTGGGCCTGGACCACAAGGCCTGTGCACAGGAGCATGGCCACCAGCAGGATGGCGTTCCACAGCTGCTGCAGGGGCTTCTGGAGAGGGGAGTAGAATGTCAGGGGTCCTGGGGCCACTCCACACTCTTCCCACAGTAAATCCACTCAAAGGACCAGGCAGGTAAGGTCCGTTGGCACTGTGTCCCTGCAGGCTCCTGGCTTCCTCTTCTGAAGCCTCTGTTCCTCCCATCTGTGTGCTCCCAGGGTCTGCCCCCGGCTGTCTACACAACTCCTCGTCCAGCAGCTGAGGGGACCCACATGTGTCCCCAGCCCAGGCCTCTCTTGGGCAACAAACTCAGTATGTTTTGCATACTTGGAAGCTTCTCTCTGGCAGCCTTACAGACTCCCCAGCCCCTCCCCAGCTCACCTTCCCATCCCAATCCCTAACCCACACTTCTCCTGGTCTACTTTCTTGAGCGCCATCACTTATCCACTTCCGTGTGGGCAGAACATTCACATGGTCCTCTGTGGCTTCACGCTTAGGAGTCTCATGCATCCCTTCCCTCCGTCCCACTCCTTGGGTGGTCACCCCCCAGCTCCTTGGGTGACCTGCTCAAGCCTCATTAGCCCATTTCCCACAGCCACAAGGATCTCACCTGCAAACTGATCATGGAGGACCCCTGCTGGACACTCTTCCCTGCAATGCCCCCACCCCCTGCCCCCACCCTCAGGAGAAAACCCAAACTCCTCTAGCAGCCCTCTGACAAGGCCCTAGATCTTTCACCCACTCTGTTCCTTGCTTCTCCTCATGTTCCCTGTTCTTCCTCACCCCTTCCCTTGGCTAATGCCTTTGGAAGTCCCTTGCTCCCAAGCTCTCCCTGACCACCAGGGCTAAGCAAATGCTCCCACTTGCCTCCCCCTGCCCAGCCAAGCCCTCCTCACACTCTTTAGTGTGTACTTCCTTGCCGCCGCCCTTGGTGGTCCTGCTGGTGGGAGGGAACCACATCTGACCTGCCTCAGCCTTTGAGAGTCCCCTTAGGGCCTCAGAGTTCTGGGGCACACAGTGACTTTGACTGAACTCCCCCCACAGCAATGTGGCAGCTGGACTTTGACTACAAAACAGCTGGCTCAGGAAATGATGCAGCAGAGTAAGCAAACTCCAGCCAGCTCACCCACACAGGCTCACCTTTTCACAGGGTCTTTGGATATGTTAGGAGGAATGAAAGCATTCATTTAAAAGCTTTCTGCATTCCTAGTAGCTTTCTGCCATCATGTTCTTCCTCAGCCAACAATGAAGTTCAACTATCATCATGTTGGGGGAGAGAGGCCGAGAAATGATTTGCTACCAAAAGAGAACACCACTCTGGATAAGGCTCGGTGTCACTAGTGTCACAAGATGTTAATCTTGCTCAGTGGTGGCACCCAAGAGACCATTATCAAGAGATGTCAGTGAGCCCCAGCTTCCCACTCCTCACCCTCTCCCCTGTGGTCTTTGTGTCCGTCTCCCTTGTGCACCTGCTCCAGGAAGCTTTCCCCAGCGCCTTAGGCTGAGCTCAGATGCATTTGCTGTGTCCCAAGGGCCGATGCCCACCATCAGCTCGGTGCTCAACCCAGCAGAGGGACAGCCATGGCCTATCTCCTCCCCAGATGGGGCCCAGGGCTGGAGCCCAGGGCTGGAGCTACCCTGCTGAGCCAGACTGACACGTGGCAGGACTCCATGGCCATTGCAATGTAAGCTCTCCAGGGTGGAACCTGGACTTCCAGGCTTTGGAGCAGCCTGTGAGCACTGGGTGGGTGGAGGGCATGGCCGCCTTGGAGCTCTGCTGCAGGCTGGAGACCAGCCTCCCCAGGCTCAGCCCATCTTAGGGACCCCCAGGTGAGGAGGGAGGGCAGGGTCTGTCCATCCGAGCAGTAAGGGAGTGGTTCATCTGACCTTTCTGATACACGGGTGCTGTAGCTCTGGATTTTGAAGCTGGAAGGATGGTGACTAGGCCCTGGGGTTGGGGCTGAGAGCTGGCTTCAGCTACCCTTAAGATTCCTCAGCTATCATGGCTAGCCAACAATTGTATGGGTCCACCGTGGCCAGCAGCATGGCTGTTCAGCTTTGCCCTCTGTACCAGCCAGACTGACCTGAAGACTGCGTACATTCCCAGCTCCAGGCCCCTTGCCCAGCCTGCCCCTTCCCTATCTCCAGTCTTTCTACAGGCACTTCCTCTCATCTGACAGCCCTTCACCAAATGTCTGCCCCACCCACAGGTCTGAGTGGGCTGCCCTCCAGGGGGAAATACGGTGGGGCTCCCTTTTCTTCCAGAAAGCCCTTCCATTCTACCAGTCCCAGTGGCTGCTCCTTCCCTTCACAGAACTGTGGTTCAGTTCCTGCTGCTCAAACAGTAAATACCACAAGCTGGGCTGAACTGCAGAGGCCTTTTTGTGTGAGAGAGCCCTGCTCATCTTTGAGCCCTTCAGGTCAGAGCCCAGGTGTCTCAGGTCTTTTGGACCCTCCACAGCCCTTCTCATGGAGCCCTAAGTGTCCTAAGATCTCAAAAGTTATCTGATGACTGCTAACTCATTCAGGAACTTCTAACAGTGAACATATTCAGGGTAGCAGCACCTGCCCATCTGCTCCATGCCCACTGCGAGCTTTATGTACACGACTCCCTGACAACCCTGTGGCTGTGTGCTGGCCTTGGTTCACAAGCGAGGGATATGAGACCAGAGAAGTTAAACACACAGCCTGAGATCACTCAGCTAAAATTGCAAGTCTGCCTGACTTGAAGTTGCCCCGCATGGTCCACATCCACCAACATCTACCGGAGGCTGCCCACCAGGAGACCAGGACATGCCTGCCCTGCAAAGAGTAGGGACTCGAGAAATGCTTATGGATGGAATACCTTTGAACCCTCTCGATGCCAAGCATTGAGAAATCCAGAGATAAGTAAGACATAGCCCCAGCCTTCAGGAGACACCCATTCCCCAACACATATACAGGATGGCCTGTCCTAAGAACCCTGTGAAGGGCTTGACAAGGCGCTGCTGTGATTTAGAAGAAGGAGAGAGGAACAGTGAGCGGAGGTTGTGAGGGAAACTTTCCAAAGAAAGCAGGCAGACAGAGACATATGGAGACGGAGAAAAAGAGCAGGCATGGGCAAGGCCTAGCGGCAGGAAACCAGGGTATGTGTGAAGGCCAGTAAATGGCACAGGATGCAGAATATAAGGAGAAAGCTAGAAAATAAAGGATAGGTGAGTAATTAGGAGCGCTGGTCTGAGCTTTATTCTGTAGGCAATGGGCAGCCAAAGAGGGCTTCTGAGCGGGAGAATAACATGACAATAGTAGTTGACACTGTGCATGAGCCTGGTCAGGCACTGCACAGAGCACCCACCATGTCAATGAACACTCATTTCAGCCCTGGGAGGTGGAAGAAGTGCTCCTGGTCACCAAGGCGAGGAGAGGCCACAGGATCTGAGACAAGGCATGTGTGCGGCCCCACCTGAGTCTCCTCCCCCCAGGCACCCACCTGCTCCTGGGCCCGACTGCCTCCCAGGCACACCAAGTCCTGCCATCCTCCGTAGCCATCCTTGGAGAGGCCACAGGTGGTCCACAGGGTCAGCTTCCACTCGATATTGGCTGACAGGGACTCTCCGCTGGTGATCTCAGCTGTGGCCTGGGTCCTCCTGGAAGGGAAAGCCACAGAGGGGCCAGACGGAAGGACTCTTGGGAGGAGAGGCCCAGATCCATCCACCCCAGCCTTGTAGAAAAAAAAGGATACCCCCAAGTATCCTCCCACAGCCCTTCTGCTTTGGCTTCTAGGTCCTTCCTGGCTATTGGTTTTTCCAGTTCTTGTATCAGCCAGGCCAGGGAGGCCTGCAAGTCCCAGAAAGAACCCGTCAATCAGGAATCCAGCTTCCTCCTTGCTGAAGCCAATTCCCCTCTGTCCCTAGAGCTGTCTCTTTGCTCCAGGCCTTGGTATCTTCTTTCAGTCCCCTCACCCATTTTTCAGACTAAGAGACTATAGCTTTAAGGTCAACAAGAAAATCCCTGGTCCTGAGACCTCTGAACCATGGCAGATTCAGGGACCCCTCAGTACCCAGGCTCCCAGGCCCAGTCCTTTGGAACCCAAACCCCAACTCACTGCAGCAGTGCCTCCAGTAGCTTGGTGACATTGGAGGAATAATGGAGGACAATCACTGGTCTGAGCAGAAGCTGCGATATGTCTAGCTGTTAATGGACAAGAAGGTCAGCAGGCCTTGGTCCCCTCTTCCCTGGCCTGCACACCCCCACTGCCTGAACACGTTTACCTCTCGGACCACGTTGTGGTTCAAGATGAGGAGGAGCAGGGCAGAGGCTCCCAGGAAGAGCGCCCTCTGCATCTGCAAGGGGACAAAGGCAGAAGCTAGCAGGCACGCTGCCCACACACCTGCCTCACCACCCACGACAGGGTTCTTAGTTGGTGGCTCTGCACCAGGTGTTTCCTCTGAACAGACTGGCTGTACACTCTTTGAGGTCAAGGGCAGAAACTCTTATTCCTCCTGCCATTCCCCCAGATGCTCTGTGGGACTCCAATGATTCTGTGCCTTCCCTGGTCCTAGCAGGAAGGGCCTGCCCCCAGACCCTGGGCAGGAACTCCCCATCTGATACTCTCAGAACCTGATGAAGTTTCCTGACTCTCTGGCCTCCTCCCACCTCCCTGCTTCCACTGACTCAGTTCTACAAACTGGGGGCCCTTGCCTCACCCAGGCCCAGGGTTTCTCTGGAAGCTCCTTAGGGGCCCACATGGTAGTCTGGCTCTAGCAGATGCCTTGAAACCCCTTCCTCCAGCCCCCTTTGCCACCTACACCCTCTGCACCTGCTGAACCAGGGCCTTAGGATAGGCCTGCGGGCCGCTGCCCTGACTCTCCTGGTGGAACTGGGCCGCCTGCTCCTTGCCCACGTATGCCACTGCAATCCAGCCTTCTACCGGCACCTCCTGCTCAGCATCCACGATGTCCATCTGTGGGGCAAAGGACCATGGGCAGAGGGAGGAGGGGGAAGAAGAGGGGACACACGGAGGATTCAAGGCCAGGGTTTGGAAGCGAGTTTGAAGGGGAGAGCATCTGGATCTCGGGTTTTGGAAGCCGGAATCTGGGGCCTGGGCAGCCTGGGGAGGGGGCGCTGCACTGCTAGGGCTTGGTCCAGGATGAAGGCCAGATCTGGGTGCGGAGCCAGATGGCTCGGCTGCGCTCACCAGCAGCAGGCGACCGCCCAGCGTGGGTGCTGGGTCGGCTTCGGGGCCAATCCTGACGCCCTCCAGGATCAGAGCGTCCTGCCGCGGCAGCCTCACGTCCACCCTCACGGCGCGGGCCCCGCCCCGCCCCGCCCTGGCC